ACAATCTTCATTTACAAACCTAAAACGACCACCAAAGCTAACTAAAATGGGGCTTGCTAAGCCAATGGTCAGCCCTCTCTGTGCTGTACAAAGCATGAACAAAACCGAAAGAGATAGACATACACGAGCATTATATCAAACGCCTTGTTTACAACTTTGTCCGTGACAAGATGGCGGCGCCGCTGGCATGGTGGCGGACCCCTCCCCCTTTGCAACTGCGTTGGTGTTGACGCAGATTCCAAGCGACTGCCACACTCCGATCCATGCTCCCTCGACAAGCTCTACACCGTGTTTAACCACTCTATTGGTCTCGTCCAACAGTAGTGACCACTCGCCAAGGAGGTGGTCAAATACAGTGCAAGCTTGTCAAGGTAGCATGGATCCGAGGGCGGTGGTCACTCGGCATCTGCGTCGATGCCAACGCAGATGCAAAGGGAGAGGGTTCCGTCGCCAACGGCGCTACCGTCCACCATCAATGCCGTCTACCACCGAACAGTAAAATTACTTTTTCACCCTTTATTTTCATGTTTCTATAGATAAAACTGATATCGTTATGGTAAATTGACCTAATTGTTTTATTTTCATAGCAACATGGATGCCAATATAACTTTTTAAAGTATAGGGACCGGAACGCTAAAAACAACTAACTACAGGGGGCAATCTGTAATTAGCCCGCCAAAGCCCTGAAGGTCAGTCTTTTGCAAAGAATTCTTTTGAGCATATAACTGCTTAATTTCATAGAATGCCTTGTAGGTTTAAATTAAGCAGATCAGGCAGATCAAGAAAACTGGGAACCAAATGTTTGATTATCTGATTCTTTCTTTCACAAAACCATGCTTTGGAGATTATTTTGTTAATCTGTTTGGTGCAATTTGTGGAAGACGTGCATGTTTGTGGGTAACTAATGGAAGAATAGTTGTTGATGTGGCTGCTGCAAACATGCTCTGTAGTCGGTTGATGCATTCTTGGAGGAGTTGATTGTGAGGAGGGAGCTAGCAGATAATTTTTGCTATTACCAGCCTCATTATGATTCATTGCAAGGTGCATGGGAATGGGCTCGCAAGACCTTGATGGATCACGCTGCAGATAAACGAGAACATATTTATACGTAAGTTAATTCACCACTTTTCTTAGATTTGCTTATCTTTACTCATTGTGGCTTAAAGGCTTTTCATGTGTTGAGAAACTTAGTCTACCGCTTTGCTTTTGCATGCTGAGTTGCTTGACTTTTTGTTTTTCAGGAAGGAGCAGCTGGAGAAAGCAGAAACTGCTGATCCTGTAGGTTGACATTATCAATTATCTCTTGTGAATAATTAGTCCAAACTTTTAATTAACTAAGAAATTGATTTAGAGCTAAATATTGGTTTCTCTCTTATTTCAGCTCTGGAATGCCTCACAACTCGAGATGGTTTACCATGGAAAAATGCATGGGTTCATGCGGTAAAAGGCTGAGGATTTGGCTTTGCCATTCTGATATTTATTATTCTGTTCATCCGTGCTTGCCAAACTCGTATTTTAGATCCTTTTTCACACTACACTATATACATTCTAGGTTAAAGATCATGTGTGAAATAGAAGTAAATTCTCAATTCAGCTTAGTTGTTTTTGAGATACAATACTGTGGTATTCTGGTACAGCAATTAACTAATCTATCTCATGCTCAGAAGCACCTTTATGACACTAATTTTTGAATGAGTGTTAATCTTATGACTCCCATATTAACCACTTTGTCTCTTTCTATCAATCTCTTTGTTGCTATGAGAAGACACTGGATATTCTCTCACAGGTATGTGTTCCATAGTGCTAATAGGTTTTTGATCAACAGGATGTATTGGGCCAAGAAAATCCTTGAATGGACAAATGGACCAGAAGAAGCACTTTCAATAGCAATTTATTTAAATGACAAGGTATTGGTTTTTTTGACATCATGGAATTCTTTTCACTGTGATATCTGGTTTCTTCTCCTTGACCATAAGAGCACCAGAATATCTAAGCATCAGACATGCATAGAGGTAGGTTGCATATATTGATCTTCCAGGATCCCTCTTGCACTAAATACACTCCTTTTATATGCATTGTTAGGAGCCTCATATATTGATGTTCTTTTTTATTTTAATAATTAAACAATCGCCCTTTGTCTGCTTATCAGAATAAACAGAAACGAAACTCGATCTAGCTTGTGAGAATATTTAACATCTGAGCATATAATTTTTTGTTGAATGTTACGATAGAGTAATTAGAAAATCCCCATTGACGCATATCCAAATGCTCGTTCAAATCCATCTCCCAAGTTTCATTGCAATCTGATAATGCCGGTGTTCAACATCTACACCGCTAATGATATTCAACAGCTTGTGAAGTAGGACTCATTGATTAGAAGAAAAGCTACTTGTGTCTGACTGTGGTCAAATGTTCGGAAGGAACTGCATGTTTTCAACAGTCATATAGCGTTCTTCAGGAAATATCCACATTATGTTATTAATATGTAAAGATTGTTTCTATCTGTTATTGCTACTTGTTATTTTTCTTCAAATTCCATTTGCCTTGGTCTTTTATTTTTTCTGGCTCCATCATTAACGACAATAGTATTTGCAGTATGAGCTAGATGGTAGAGATCCGAGTGGCTATGTTGGTTGCATGTGGTCCATATGCGGACTCCATGATCAGGTTTGCATACTGATAACATCTTTCATTAAGTTCACTTAGTTGGATTCTTAGAATCCACTTGTCTCATTTCCTCGTGACAAGATTGAGTTATATGTTTGAGTAAATTCTTATTATAAAATTTCCTGGTGCTTGAACTTGGGTTTTAATGGAGTTTGCTTGATATCTCCCGCTCTCAGGGCTGGAAGGAGAGACCAGTCTTTGGAAAAATACGTTACATGAATTATGCAGGCTGCAAAAGAAAATTCAATGTGGATGGATACATAGCATATGTGAAAAAACTGGTCGGTGAAACAAAGAAGAGGAAGTCAGATGACCATTCGAGTCCTGCAGTGAAACATTCCAAAACTTGAATATTGTGGAAGACAAACTTAAAGTCAAGTAGCACAGGCACAGTGTCACTCTGAGAAGAAGCAGGGAAGATTGAAGGAAAAATTAGTGAGGTCCTCTATATCTTTGGTGGAAGCACATGCTGATTAGAAGCATCTACAATGTAACCAAATTGGTGCCAATCACATGATTTATGAACTCGTGTCGGTCGCATTTGTCCTATCTCTTCACTGTAGCCTAGCGTGCAGGACAAGCTAGAATGACGGTTGATGTATTTGGTGTTAACATCGGCAGACAGGCTGGGTTGATCAATCACGATTGTGCGTCATGTGATCATGATTGAAATATGTCGATGAACCATCATGTTTCACTGTAGCATAACAAGCAAATATAGAGAGCAGGATGGGATTATCTTATTACACTCATGGTGCCGGGACCTCATTCTATTCTATCATCATGCAGATGGTTCATTTTGTGTCATCAGAAAGGCCAGATACGTTGTTGTGCTTTCGAAAATATTGTTGATTTGTAGCTTCTGTTATGTATATTGCTGTTGTATCCTTGATAAAAAAGAATAAAAGAGGTTTCAGGAAGAAGAGAAAAAAATATAGAACATAGTTGTAGACCAAGTTGCTATGCAAAAAATTCTTTCTTTCTTTCTTCTTCCTTCCAGCGTTTGATAGTGAATTGCTTGTCTCTATTATCTGAGAGAGTACTGCCCTGTTCCAAGTGTATGGAGTCTCAAGTCCAGGAAAGGTGCATATGCTTGTATTCTTCTTTGATCTATCTATGCACATCATGGGCTATGACTTGTCGGTGGAATATTATGCAATGTTGTGCAATCCAAAAGAGGTCTCACCATCCTTTCTCCTCTGCTGTAAAAAGGTCATTTTGATCGAACAAGTATGATGGACAAACAAAGTTGTTCGGTGTTAAAGCTTATTATAAGCTCTCTCTCTCTCTCTCTCTCTCTCTCTCTCTCTCTCTCTCTCTCTTCAGGTATGTCTGTGTGGTCTTAGTCTTGCATTTGTGCCAGAGGGGATATTCTCTTTTGGGAGAGATTTGAGTTTTAAGGATTGTTAATCATCCAAAACTATGAAGTCTAAACCAACACCAATTTGGAAATGAGAGGGAAGATGTGAAGGCTTATAAATTAATCTTAAGAGCTTAAGCCTTTAGGAATGCTAGTCACCTAATTAAAATCATTATGATAGGGAAACATCGTATTATTTTCTTCATTAATTCTTTCAATATGTGAGTAAGCATAAGAGCCCTTCCAAGAACAATAGCAGCCTGGAATCGACGGCAGCAGTCACCGCCGAGACCATTGTCAGCTTCTGCAACATACTGACAACAGCAAATATAAATGCAGCTAACAGTGGAAACTCAGAAGACCTGCAGCGAGAGAAGACGATGAAGAAGAAGAAGAAGAAGATACATGAATCCAATGTTAAACGCCAAGACATTGATGTGGTTCACATGCACGCCCAGCACGGTCAGCTGCTGCCGATCCCACAGGAACAGAACACTGTAGTTTAGTGGCGCTAAGATAGCCTGCCGTGACCTCCCCATTACCTTCCCGCAAACACCAGCCTTCGGAATGTTACTTCACTTGATTGTTTAGCTCTTACCGGAAGGTCATACTGTCATGATATCGATCATCTCCGCTGGTATCATTCATTAATTGTTGATTCTAATATAACATTTACGTTTGTCTACGGCCATGGTGAGTCCCATGATGCTTCCTTCGTGTGTTCTTGCGATATCCAAAATCCATGAAACATGGGACTGTTCTGCACGAAAATGCTGATAGACCAAGCTTCGGTAATGGATGTCTCCGTGACTCTTAACTGAAGGTGAAGAACAATGGGAGAGCAAAACGAATGAGATAGAATAGAAGAAGGCAAGCAATTCAGCTGTGCTCGGTGCATTGCAGCACAAGGCAACGAAGACTGCAGCGAATTTATTGCATGAAAGCGAAGTTTAGACAGCATTTAAGGCGGTACTCCCTCGCAAGAAGAGGAGAAGGAAGCATCCAAAAGGGGAATTAGCCCGTCTCAGATATGCTCTCTCCTCTCTCATCTCCCTCCTCTTCTTCCCTCGCTCCTCCTCCTCCTCGCTCTCCGGCTTTCATGCCTGTAAGCACTCTCTTTACTACTCGTCCGTCCTTCTTCAATTGGCTCGCCTTTAGAAACTTCTCACGCTTGCATGAATTCTTTGCTTGTTGACAGATCGTGGAACACCAGAAAGAAGAGCAGCAGGAGGAAGCCGCGGGAGTGAGATTTAGTGCTTACGTGCACAAGCCCACTCCACTCCACCCCTCCATCGTAGGTTCGTCGACGGTGACCACCCCACCAGCTCTCACCACGCGGCGGCCATCCCGGACCAGAGGCCAGGACGATGGCGAGGCCGTGTACGTCTCCTGCGACAAGTGCCGCCCCACCTCCCGCGACAAGCTCATCTCCGTTGTCCCCCTCGACAACGCCGCCGGACACAAGCATTCCCCCGCGGGCTCTTCTTCCCCTGGCCCCGGCGGCCTCCTTCGCTCATTGTTCCTATCTGTCACCCGCCGGAGCCCCACCGCTGCTGCCGGCGTAGCATCAACCGCCTCGGCGGCCTCCGCTGTCCGTGAAGACCAGTGGCGTCTCGTGGCGGCGGAACTGTCCAGGAAGCTCCTCCACGCCACGCGGAAACGCGACGAAGCCGTCCTCGAGGCTTCCCGCCTCGAGTATTCCCTCACCGAGCTGGAGCGCAAGATCGACCGCCTCGAATCTCATTGCCGCGACCTCCGGGCTTCCATCCAACCTGGCCCTGCTCTCGGCCCCTCCACGGCTCCCTTCCCGACGGAGGCCTTCCACGTAGCCATCGCCGACGCACGCGCTGCCGTCCGCCAGCTCGCCCGCTCTCTCATCGCGCATGTCCGACTCGGCCCACCCGGGTCGCGGTCCTCCGACCGGTTGACGGCGTTGATCCAGCACGACGACCCCTGGGCCGCCATCCAATGGCGGAGGAACCCCGGCGGCTTGCTGTTCCACATGGAGGCGCTACTGAGCCAGGCATTCTACGCCGGGTTCGAGGAGGACGACGAAGAGGAGGCGAGGCTGATCGACCCGGCGGCCCGGTGCGAGGCGAGCCGGGCGGGGTACGAGGCGGTCCGGGGGCTGGGATGGGACGAGGTGCTCTGCAAGGGGACGCGGCACTACAGTGAGGGGCTGAGTCGGTTCTGCGATCGGAAGATGAGCGAGGTGGTGGGGGTGGTGGGGTGGGACCGGGCGTGGCCGGAGGGGCTGCTACAGGCCTTCTTCGAGGCGGCGAAGGGGGCATGGGTGGTGCGGCTCATGGCGCGGTCCGTTCACCCGGCGCTGCCAGTGCTGAGGGCGGACCAGGGGGCGCGGTTCGACTGCCGGTTCATGGAGGACGTCGCGGCTGACCGGGTCCGGCGGCTGACCCCGGCGAACGTGCGGATGATGGTGGCACCGGGGTTCCACGTGTACAACGCCGGCGGCGGTGGGGTGGTCAAGTGCACGGTGCTCTGCGCGTACAACAGCAGTAACAGCGATTGAGCGGCGGAAACAGTTCCGAGAAGCCTCCTCGATGGATTAGCAGGAGGAGATCATCATGTGAGGGGGAGAGAATAATTTTGTGCATGGGGATATACCAACAATGTCACCGAGCCTTTTTATTTTATTTTATTTTGTTTTATTTTTATTTTATGGTTTTCTTGCTCTAATGTGAAGTTGTTTATAAGATTTTAGATATTATTTGCTATGCTTCGATTATTTTGTTTTTTGGGTGGTGGAAGATTACAACACATGTAGAGTAATAGGTGGATCTTTTGATCCTTCAAATGCGATCAACTTCTGATAAATTAAAAAAAAATTATCAAAATCTTATCTGATATATTTTTAAATATTAATAAAAATATCAATAATATATTGTAAGATGTTGGATTCAAATCTTATCTTCATTAATTATTTCTTATTAATTTTTATCGAATTAATCATATTATATTTACTTGAGGGTGACTTTGTTTTTTTCCTTGGACAAAAATAAAATATCATCACTTTTTACTTCCCCCTAACCTCATTCTTCTTCTTTTCCTCTTAAAACATGTTTCTAAATTTTAAATTATAATTCTTATAAAATCTTTCAAAAAAAAAATGAATTGAGTATTATAATGGTATACGGGTGAGGAGGATATACGAGTCTAATGTATTTTAGATAAACTTAAATAAAAATATGAGAAAATTAAATGAAATATACTTAATTTTGAATCTTAAATATGATGGATTTTGTAAACAAGTGTGTCTCAGCTTATTTTCGAGTGTAATAGGTTAATCTTAATTAAACCATCTTAAATTTATTAATTATTAAAATTTATTTTTTTATATATATTATATGAGTGTATCTTAGTTTATTTTCGAGTGCAACTATATCAACTTCAATCAAACCATTTTAAACTTTCATTAATCTACTATGACATCATTCTAACATCATTAATAATATTTTTAGAAAAAATTAGGATAATTTATTATCAAAATTTAAAACTTTTTAGATAGATTCTACGAACAAATGTATTTTAGTTCATTCTTAAGCATCACATGAAAGAGAGATAGAGGTGGAAAAGGAGGAGAAGGCGAAAAAGTCAGAGGAGGAGGAGGTTGTGAAGAAAAAGATGGTGGTAAAAAAAAAAAAAAGGATGGTTTTGGACTAATCGATTCATTAGTCCAAATTGATTCATTCAAATTTTGTGAGAGCAAAATTGGTATTTATGAAAAGAAACATTTTAAAGCTTACTATTTAGAGTTCCCTTTTTTATATTATTTTTTATTAATAATTTTTTAAAAATAATAAAAAAAAATATTTCACTATTTATAGTCTATCTAATTCTAATTTTATCTTTCTTTTTTATCTTTTTGCCCCCTTCCTTATCTATCTAATTCTAATCTATCACTATCAACGCTCCTAGCAACTCTCTATTATCTATGATTACCCCCCGAACCCGTGCTCTTACCCCACTTGTTGTCTCTTCGACATTATCCTTTGATGAGTAGGATGAAAAATAGGAAGAGAAGAAAATAATGTTTATGTCCATTTATGAAATGATAGCTTTGAGATATTAATTTTTTAAAAAATAAAATTATAAATAGGAATCTATAAAGAGTAAGATGTAATAAAGAGTCACATATTTACTTTTAGTATGTTAAGGATATATTGAGCCGCATCCCGGCGGATTGGCCAACCCAACCCAACCCAACTCGAGCCCGACAAAGTAGCTTAAGTAGGCTTCCATAAGGCCCCAATCGAGCGACGCCAAGCCTCCGTTGGAGTCGATTAATCAACAGATACATCGAGTTTCAAATCCTCCGTTTTCCCAACTTTTATCATTCATTCATTCCATAGCTGTTCAAACTCCCATTGATTAGATACGGTGTGTGTGTCATGAGAAAAAGCAGTCGCTAATGGGTCCCTTTCGCTGTCCTCTTTGGAATAGACACACCTCCAAACGTACCGAGACTTTGATCACGGCTTGCTCGCTGGGTTCAGATGTGCCTGTCGAGCGTCCTGGTTTTACATGGTAACGTGGCAAGAGGCGGAAGGAAGAGCACAACCAGTTGCGTGTGGGGAGACGAAATATGATGCAGAGGAATAACAACATATACGATGTGTCCACCTAAACCATCTCTGCAGAGGCACAATGATGCTACTGTTGACTTTATACGGCGTTTGATCACGTAATGGAAAGGCCGGAAAGGACGGAGAAGGAAAACGAGGGTAAGAACACGAAGCAGCCTGAATCCAAGTGTAATGGAGTTAGGTGAAGCGCACCGAGACGTTACGTACGGTGAGACGAAACGACCGAGTTGAATCGGAAGAGTCGTCCGACGAGACGTTTCGTCTGAGGACAACTTCGTACGAGGAAGCTGTTCACCGTACGCCAAGCGAATGATAGTGATACATGATATTTATGACAAACATCTTGACTGAATGATCATTATTACGACGACAGAAATCTAAAGAATAAAGATGTGCTACGTCTTTGGTTGCCGCATCCAAAATTGGTTTGCCTTCTCACTTGTTCTGGAAATGGTGTGTGTGTGTTGTGTTTCTATCGCCCACTTTACTGTTCGCAACGAATCCATCGAGTTTCTTGTTCTCACCAGTGAATGCGAGCGACTTCACAGGGTTTCGATCGAATGACAGGTGACTGAAACGAACAGTTCAAAACTACTAATTGACATCGAAGGAAATTTTACAGGTCTTCGTTTTACAGTGTAGAATGAAAGAGAGTAAAGTGGAGGTAAAGCGGCCAACGATGATCGACTCGTCACCGCCTCCTCCGGAACACATGCTCCTCCTTGGTGTAATGATCGAAGTGCCTGAACCACCGTGGTCGGTCGCCGCCCAAGCTCGGCCCCTTCCCGACGCCGACATGCAGCACCTCCACGCCGCTGCCTATCGGAAGGTACGTCGACCGCACCACCCTCGTCCCCGAGCCGAACACCGCGGCAGCCCCGCCCCGCCGCCTGTCCGCTCCCTTGCGCACCACCACCATCCCCCTCGGCCCCGGCCGCACCTCCCTCAACACCCTCCCCGCGTCCCTGCGCCGGCAGTCCACCACCATAAGGTCCACCCCCTCCAGCTCCCGCATGGCCTCCTCCGGCTCCCCCACCACCACCGACCCCGCCTCCGCCGCAGCTCCCGCACGCCGCATCGCCTCCACGTATTCCGCCGCCGACTGCTCGTCAGGGACGACACACACGTGTCGACCTCGGGCGTGCCTAGCGGCAGCTCGCAGCCCGACGCCGGTGGCGGCGCCGGCGTCGCGAGACCATGCTTCCACTATGAGCTGAGCCCTCCAACCTCCGGCCATGGCAGCGACCAACTCGGCGACGTTGGTCTCCTCCAGGTCCCGATCGGCGAGGGCGTTCACGGCGTCGATGTAGGCCTTGGCGGCGTTCTCCGGGCACCAAACCAGCTTCATCTCTTCCCCTCGTTTCTTCTGGGCTCGTTGAAGAACAGAGTAGGCTATTGACCAAAGTGGAGCTACGAATGGGTTTTTAATACCGGCGAAGGAAGATTCCAGCCTTTATAATAGACGACGATATAGTTGCGGAAGGTTGACTTTGGCACAATCCGGCAACAAGTCGCGATTTGGATTACAGCAGCAGACGCGGACAAACTGGGCCTTTTATTTGTCAGCTTCGTGTGCTGCTGTAAACAACCGAAACTGCAGCTTGGAACTTATAGCTCCTCCTCAAACTGAGATCCGGGCACATCTGGCTTAACATAATCCATCTCAGTTAAGCCAGATCTTAGAAGAAGAATTATTAAGGAGGCTTCGCTAAGATTGACTTGTGCATATATAAACATGGATTTGGTGGAAATCTGAGCAAGTTGTGTGTTGTTTAGACGATGAAGAAAGGGTCTAAACTTAATGGCTGCTCACGAGGACAGTTGACTTCTGATGGGTGCGAGGAAGGCGGTGCACCGGGGAAGTGGCCAAGAGCTGGCATTCAAGACAGGATAAGGGCAACGAGTCGCATGTGAAGGTACGAAGGTGGAGACCACATGTAGCGTGGCCGTACTCATCCTTGGGGTGGAAGAAACCTGCGGTCGGAAAGGAACAGAAGACGAGAGGAGTGGGTCAACTCATCGGACCATCGGAAACGGTAAGTGAGAATGGTGCGCGCGCGGGGGGTCGCCGCCTTGGAACAGGAAGAATCCGCGTGGGATGGAAGATGAAGTGAAAGAATGGAATGGCTATGTGGATCAGATGTGTCATCAACGTCCATCCGCTCATATTTTACTTGTGAAAACTGTGTGCCTATGTTTTGAGCTGAGGCCGCAATATGTGCAAACTGAGAGACAAGCTGAAGACAACCGAACCTTACTTAGCACAAGGTGTCCTACTGCTCTATCTCTTCGTTAATGTCCAATAAATCCTTTCCTTCTTCAATGATCACTTTTCATAAATTTATCACCCCTTTGCCCAGGTTTAAGTGATTCAGATTTGTCACCCATATATATATATATATATATATATATATATAATCAAAGATCTATAATTTCTTTTGGATCAAAGAGGGTAACTAGTCTCTTAATTACTTGAGTACTTATGTCACTTGGCTAACTCTTATATTCCAAGCCGACAAGATATTCTGATCAATTCTATGGTTAATGTTATCTTAATCTACATGTTCATGAGTTTTAAGATTTCTGAAAAGATTAAGATGTTCTTTTAGAAATTTTTTTAGAAATGATAATGATAATTATAAGAAGTTTAAGCTATTTAGTTTGGATTGCATCACATCTCCAGAAGAGGTTGAAGGTCTAGGCATCAAGAATTTTCACCTTGTTAGGAAAAGCATGAAAGTAAAGAGAATCATTGCCTTGATCAATAATGATTCTTCTTTATCAGCTATTTCATGTATTTCCTTAATCAATAATTTCCTTGATCAATAATCATTTGATGCATGAGAGATCAGTATCAAGGGCTCTTCAAATGATAAAGTTAGTGGTGGAATAGGAATAATATTTTTATTTTTCTATCCCCTGTCATATTATGGGAGCCGACTTTTATACTTGGACGGTCGATGGTGGGAGGCTGATAGCTCCTCCCCTCAATCTGTGGTCCTTCAAAGGCTCTTTTATATCGACGACTGACTGATACATTTCACTGTGATACGCTGTTAGTGAAAGACGAGTGCGAGAGTGTCGTTTGTTTAGGTTAAAGTATGCAGTATAAGCAAACAACTGTTGCTTATGCTAGGTGACCAGAAAAGAGAAAGATGGTCCTTATCATCGAGGATTAATTCTCCCTATAAACATGCAACCGAAAAAGAGGGAGATGGGCTTCGCCATTAAGGGTTAATACTCCCTGTTGCTGAGCGTACAGTCTATCCCAAAATTATGATTGGTAAAGGGTAAAAAATCGTTTTCCTACCACTTGCCACAGGGAGAAGGAGGCTACATAGGCTCCTCTGTCCTCGACTTAAGTGACATAGATAGCTAGATGAGTCCGTACGTCAAAACTAAGGTCATCTTATTCCTAATATTAACGAGATAGAAATAGGTCAAAAATATATTATTTACAAAAATGTAAAACTATGCTAGCAACGTAACATAGTGACTGTCACTCCCGATATAATTAAACAATAAATATAAATTGATTACATAAAATTTAAAATTTTTAGTATATGAGATAGTAGAGGGAAATATGATAACAAAACCAATCTTAATCATATGGAATCTTCACCAATCTCCTAGTCAAAATCTATCGAATTTTTTATTTTAAAATTATTAGGTAAAAAATAGAGTATACAAATTTTAATTAACAAACTATTAAGTGTTAAAAAAATAACAAATAAAAAAGATGAAGTTTAGAAAGAATTTGGAGATGTATAATTGTTGTGTGAAAGTAAAATCTCGAGAAGAATGATTGAGATTCTCAGGATTCAACCGATATTATTTCTTTTGTGAGTATTGTCGACTTTACTAGCCTTTTCAAATGAACCAAATAATAAAACTAAAATAAAATATAACTAGAAAGATGATAGAAGAGAAAAGAGTATTTCTGATTCACATGAATAGGATCTATTATTTACAGAGTCTAAAAATGTATCCTTTTACAGTAAAAGAGTATTGTCCAAAGGGCACATCTTCTCACATATAATCATCAAAATATAGTTTTTTTTTTCAAAAAATAAGTTTTAAAAATAACTCCAACATATTGTTAACAAAATTCTGAAGATTTTAAAGATCCTAAAAATTCTAAAACTTATGACATCAGTTTCTTCTGACTTCATTCAACATAGAAGCATGGGGGTGATGTAGCAACTCAAGCCTTTTGAAGCTTAAAGTGGAAAAAGATATGGTGGACTTGTGCAAAATGGAGCAATGAATTTAGATTTCTGGTACTCAATCCACATTCCTGCATGCATCCATAGTGGAGGAATCAAGTGCAAAGGAAAATACCAGGGCCAAATTCTTCTTATCATCTGCCATAAGTTATTGTTTTCCTTGCTAAGTAGAACCAAACTTACCACCTTACCACCTTAAGAATGAATCTGAACTGATGTGCACAGACAAAATTGGGTGATGATCCACCAGGAATTCCTTCCTGGAAATTTCTAACAAGAACACAAAAACATAAGCTCCCATGCAAATGGTTCAAAATAGGACATGAAACTATTTATTTGTTGTTGTTGTTGTTTTTTTTTTGCTACTGCTGCTTTTTTGCAATGCATGCATATTTTATTCTCTTTTTACCCTTTTTTCTTTCTTTTTGTTCCTTGATCATGAATTCTTATGTGTTCTTAGTATTATATATATATATATCTGGGATGTGTTGGGATAATTAACTTGGTTTCGACAAGCTTGTCATAGAGAGCAATTTTACCCTGAGAAACACTGGCCACAAGCGGCGTCATATTCGACTCACGGGTTGCCCAAACTTGTTGGCTCTTTCTGCATGGATTCATCCACAAAGAAGAGAATCATAATACTTGTGGCGATCAGATGAATACAAACTTGGTCTTATCAGAATCTCTCAGGAGCCATGAGAGGACCATAACTTTTACCCTCAGCTAAAACTCAAGTCATGTACCGATAAATCATGTTACAAGATCAAGGAAGTATGTACTCAAATGAGAAGCAACATGAACACAACTAGTTCTTAGATCTGTCTGCAACAGCAGTTGCTGCCGCTGCTCATCTCTTGAAGCACTGCCTCCATCGTGGGCCTTTGACTCGGGACCTCGCTAGTGCAGAGCAATGCAATGCCTACTAATGTAGCTGCCTCCGGCTTAGAGTAGTTGCCCTGGAGGTTCTCATCGATGAGGTCTTCGAGTTTACCAGACTCGGCTTCCGGTCTCAAGTGAGACGTCCTCGTGTTGCCGGTGAGGATTTGGAACACGATGACCCCGAAGGCATACACATCACTCTTCTCCGAGAACCGGCCGACGGTGGCGTACTCGGGAGCCATGTAACCCATGGCAGCACTTGTTTTGAGGGACGAGAACACCACGTCGTCTGCCAGTAACTTGTGCAGGCCGGAGCCAGAGAGCAAAGGGTTGAATTGATGGTCGATGAGAACCTTGGCTGCTGATAAGTTTTGGTGGAGCAGAGATGGCTTGTTTGCTCTGTCGCCGTGCAAATACTCGATGCCTGTTGCAAGAATCCAACGACATCCAGTTGTGTTCATTCCTCGAAACAAGATCATCAACATCATTTATCGATAGGATATATGTAAAAAAGATTATACCTTTGGCAATGCCTTTGATGATAGAGACTCTCATAGGCCAGTCGAGAACCTTGTGAATCCCATCTCCCTTCACATCCAGATACTCCGGCAGGCTCCCATTAGCAACGAAATCATAAATAAGGAAGCATTCCCCTCTCGCTCTCGAGTAGCAGAAGCCCCTCAATCCAACAAGATTCTCATGCCTCAGCAACGTCAGTGTCCTCAGCCCCTTCAGGAACTCAGCTTCCTCCGACTTGCAACTGGTCTTGTTGATTCTCTTGACTGCGATCTGGGTTCCATCTCGCAGTATCCCCTTGTATGTGGCTGCAAAGCTACTCTTCTTCCCGAGCAAGTTGACCTCCGAAAAGTACTGAGTCGCGCACTCCACCTCCTCCAGATTGAACCTGTAGATCTGAGACACCTCCTGAGAGAGCCCATTAATGCCGCCGCTCCTCTCATCGGTCATAGGATCCCAGTGGCTGGAGTACTCGAGGCTAATCAGTGGAGAAGCAGCTCGATAGGAGAACTTGGTCGGATCAGCGCTAAGCAGACCGTTTGAGACCTCAAACAGACCACCAATCTTTTGCTTCCGGAGCCGGAACCAGAGGAAGGCCATTAGTCCACAAACCATAACTCCAAAGACAACTATGGTGGTCGCGACGACGATCACTACGTTGGTGGACTTGGAAGAGCTGGAGCAGTGGGTTGCACTGCAATCTGCAGAGATATTAACAGATTGTGGAATGTCCTGAGGTGCCAGGCCGGCGCTAAATGGTTCAGGTCTGCTCGCATTGAGGAGGTCAGCAGAAGTGCAAGCCCTCAGATCGGTGAATCCAGTTCCGCACAGATCAGTGTTGTTCCCATATTTGAAGTTTCCGCCCAATTTCTTGAGTTCTTGAGACATAACAAGTGTGATCTTAGTTCATATGCGAGTTGAGGGAGGAGGTACACAAGAATCAAAATTAGAAGGGGATCGTGGGAAGATATATTACCTGAAGGCACGTTGCCGGAAAGCAAGTTGCTTTGAACATCTAATACCGTCAGCTGAGGAAGCTGAGATAGCTTGACGGGGATTGAACCGAAAAGCTGGTTGAAGCTCACATCCAACCATGTCAACTCGGTTAAATCTCCCAAGGTCGCAGGTATTGCTCCATTTAGGTGATTTGATTGCAGGGCGAGCATGTTGAGATTCTTCAGAAGCGCCAGCTTGGGGGGTACGCTCCCAGACAGCTTGTTATTAGAAAGCTGGAGGACTGAAGGAAATGGAAAGGAGGAAGAAAGGTGGCATCAGACATGTAAGAAAGCTCCACAAGCATCGTAAGGTTCTACAAATCCCTACTGCACTGCAATCGGTTTGCTACATTGGACTCACCTTGGAGGCCACCCATGTTGCCAATCTCCTCCGGGATGCTGCCTGAGAGGTTATTGACGTTGAGATAGAGATCACTCAGCCGAGACAGGTTCCCGATCTCTCTCGGAATCACCCCGGAGATCTTGTTGAAATGAAGGTAGAGCCCCGTGAGGCCCTCGAGCTCCGCCACCACCGGAGCGATGGAGCCCGAGAGCCCCCTCCCCTGGAGAGAGATGTTGGCCACCTTCCCGCTCTCGTCGCAGGCCACCCCCTCGAAGTCACCTCGGCAGTGCTCCCCCTCGCTGGTCCACGAGGTGAGGAGCCTGTTCTCCGGGTCCAAAGAGACCTTCAACTCCATGAGAGCTCTCAGCTCATCACTCCCACGCACTGACCTCTGGTGGACGACGAAGGAGAGGAGGAGGAGGGAGAAGAGAAGGCCATGGCAGCGGGGTGAAGCTGAGCCCATTGCAACAAGGGGAAGACCTCTCTGGGCCGGGGCGCTCTCGGAGAAGAGGATGAAGGGAAAAGGAATCAAGCGTGGGAGGGCTTGCTTTCTTCTTTTTCTCGGTGGGAAGGAAAGAAGGTGGCAGAGAAAGCCAAGGGAGGGGAGTAAAGAAGACATTTTTCTTGGACGAAAAGATGGGTGGGGCAGTGCCTCAAGAGGAGAGATGGCAAAGAAGACGAGAACAGGGTGGACCAGCGACAGAGCCCGAGAGGTTGATGACAGGGAATTCAAGCAGTTATTAGATTTCTCTCGGATCTTGTCGTGGGTGTCAGAGTCATTCAATCTTGTTGTGTAATGTCCTCTCCATCTCACAAACACTATTCCTATTAAACTCATCAAATATTAATCGGATGGAGTTGACTACTCTGGTTTGACCAGCTAAAAATATAAAGATAAGAAAGATCTAAGATAAAACAAAACGAAAGATTATCTATATTTATTCCCTTTACGAGTAGTATTGGAAGAGGAAGACGATGAAAATTATTCTTGTGAGAAAAAAAGCTGCATATTTTTACAGGACGGAAAATGTAAAGATTTCAAACTTCAAATACTTCCATCCCATTCTCCATTTCAAACTTGTTTCGAATCGACATCTTGAATCGATCTATTGGCACCCCCCAAGCGAAGACCGGGGAACCTTCGATATGGCCTCATGGGAGACGGCGGTTGGTCCACCACGCCATCCTCTAAACACTTCAAAACCGGAGACGAATCCATTTCAAGTAACTCCACAGGTGTGTGTTGTAGACGTTATGCTGTCATCTTCCTACCAAAGTCGAAATGAACGAACTGCTCTGTTTGGGTCTTCAGATCCACAGCCATCCACCATGGAGGAGACTTCTTGTTGTGGTGTGGAATACTAACGTATTCACACATACATCTCTATCCTATCCTATTCTTTACATGCAAAAAGCATGGGATCCATCCTTGACGAAATATAGCTTTAGTGGAATCAGGTTCTCTCTGCACTCCACTTCCCGCGGACATGATTGCATGGAAGAAGATGTTGTCCATTCGGTGTAGACAATATGATGGTGACTGAGACAAAAGGCTCGAATGTGATTCTTCCTTCCGTGGACAAATGTATCGATTAGGGAAGACTTGGGTGGGGGATGTGTCGACACCAAACAAGCTGTTGGAAGGAGACCCAATTTTCTTGTGAAAAAATTTCCCATGATTCACATCTGGTGTTGCTCTTTTTTGGATTTTGATAGCTATCTATAGACTGGGATGAACCCACTAGTCTAATTATATAATTATGTCTTAGCAAATTGTCAAGGATCAAGCATTAATCGACTACAGTTGGTAAACTTGTTGTTGTTGTTGATGATCATATTCTCAACTTCTATCACAAACAGTGTTGGGCCAAATCTAATCCACACTAGGAGGGGCTAAGCTGGGGTTGAGCAAGGCATTGGCCAATATATTTGTTCTTATAAATATTAGTATCTTATTTTATATTTCTCTTAATAAGATCATTTAGTCAGACGTTCGTTGAGGAGTATGAAAATCAAGAACTCATAAGTTCGTCAAGTCTTCCATATTCTAAGAGGCGCCTTTTGGAGCTCACATGTTCCGAAAGCACAAAATCGTACGAGTACGATCATCGTCTAAAGCGAACAATTCCTTGTGAGCCTACGAGCCGTACCAATCCCTTATTAAATTGGCGCTAGAAGGAGGGCTCAAGACATGCACCTTGGCCGAGCAAACTTACTCTCGAGCCATGCACCTCGGCTATAGAACCTTTGGCTCCCTTAGGGGAGGGAGCACTGATAAAGTCATTTAGTCTCACGAGTATGAGAACCGGCTCAAAAGTCAACCGAGTCTCCCTTACCCTCAAAGACACATTTTTGAGTTTACATGTTTCGAAATGATAAAATCGTGTGGGTATGTTGTCACTTGCTGAGCTCTATATGCTCATCCTATTGCTATATAAAATTTTCACGATAACTTATCGCTCCCTATGATTCATTAGAAAAGCTATTAGAAATGCTAAAATTCATAAGTTATTTTTCTTTAGTGAGAGAATTCTTTTCCCATATAACTTTCCTCGCTTTTAATGATTTACACAAATCCATATGTGATAATTTAATATATTTATCATATTTGAAAAAAAAATGACCTAAAAAATCTATATTTTGGTCTGAGATTGTAAGGGTTTAGATAATCATATTTTGGTATGGGGTTCTAAGGATTCAGATAATCATATTTTTCAAGGAGAAAAGTGGACCTTAAGTTATCCTCATAGATGTATAATATACTTGACACTTGTAAATTAATATTACATAGAGCTATGGGCTGATAGTCAAAGATGAGAGAAAGGTTAGACTTTTAGTTTTGATCTACTTTGTGGGAGGGAGAAAGCAATATGAAAAAATATAAAAAAAATTAAGGAATGGAGTTCCAAAAATAGATCAATAAAATTTACAAAATTTAACAGTCAAGCTCATATGCTTGAGAGGGACAATAATAACATTTAGAAAGGCTATCGAAGTTCTTCGAAAAAAATAAAATAAAATAAAATAAAATGAGACTATAAACTTTTCACTCTATTTGTGTAAAATATACTTTTTTTTCTAAATAATTATAATTATAATTTATATTTATTAATTATTAGGTATCAAAAGCCTTCTCCTCACTTTCTTTTTGGGCCCATCCAAGCTGTCATGGTTATTCTTGCCGGCTCATATAATAATCATTATATTTTATTAGGTGTATACTATTTAAAACTTCTTTTTCCTATTCACAATCTCAAAAATAGTAATTTACTATTCATAATCCATTTCTTTTTATTTTTACTCTTTTTCCCATAGCTTGTTGCTAACACTCATAATCGCGATATATTTTGAGTATTTTATAAATATTCAGAAGGTAATATTTTGGTTAATTTGTAAAAAAGCATGGAACATACATCTTTTGAGATAATCCTAAAAATATAATAAACATGAACATTTATATCATTAATTTCTACTAACAACACTTGAATGAGAAAAAAAGAGAGTTAATATTATACTTATGAATGTTAAGATCTAGAATACCTAAAATATCCATCCAAATATTTGATTATTCTATAATTGTCTGAAAGATGATATATATTCTGGATATTTTTTAATATTTCAATAAATATCTTAAAGATAATACTCAGTATTTTATAGAGACCTAAAAATATGACCTCTTTTGGATTAATCTAATTGACTCACAAGATAATCTCTTCTAGATTATTATAGAATCAATATAGTTATAAAAATATTAAATAATATAAAAAATATAAAAAAACTATTTCTTATCTCCTTTTTGATTTTTAAATCATCTCATTTTATCATCCTTTTTTATTATTTTATATCCTTCGATAATTTAAAAGATAAAAAAAGAGGAGAAGAAAAAAAAATTATAGAAAAAGGAGTGACAAGAATTTTTTTAGTACTAGTTTATAAAGTGTATATATATATATATATATATATATAAGAATAATTTAGAAATAACAAAAATGAGCTTTAAACACTAAGTCCCTCCCAAATATATATATACTTCCCCCAATCCCCTTCTTGCCCTTTGGGTTCGAACCCCAGATTCGACAACAGCCATCGCCTCTCCAACGCATACTCCGACCGGGCCTCCTCCTCCCTATCGCCGTCCTTTCGTTCTCCGATCTCTGCAACTAACAGTGGGATGAAGGGTGGCATCTCGCCGGCGCCGGGGGATTACGCCTACTTCAAGTCGCAAGTCCCGCTCCACAAGATCTCCGTATGATCCTTCCCCTCCCTCCTCTTCTTGTTTGCTCGGGTAGGATCTGTGACGATCGTAGTAGTCTCTGCATCTTTCTTGGCGTCTTCGGAAGGAAGAGAATTTGTTGTTTTCGAATCGGTAGACGCGCAAGAACTGCTGGATCTTGTAGTGATTTTGGTTCCTGGTTGTCGTCTAGGGTTCGTTGTTCTTGAATCGGTAGATGCGCAGGAACGGACGGGCCCTGTAGTCATTTCGCTTTCTCGTTATGCGGGTATTTGCAATTCTTGAACAAGAACTGTCGGATCTGGTGGCGGTTTTTCTTTCTTTGCGTTGCGTAGATCGAATTCTTGAATCGGTAGTTCACGAAAGGGCTTGGTTTTCCCAGCGGTTGTTGGAGACGTACATCTTGATTTGGTGTCGGTGTATAAGTCGTTCGGCAAATGTTTAAAGTTTGCCCTCAGATCATATCTTAAGTCGATTGCCCTCTTTCATATATCATATAGTGATGCTTTTCTTGAATTTTTTTCTTTGTTCTGGGAAGATCTACAATGATCGTCACTATGAGACGGAGATACTTTATTGTTCTTGAATCGATAGATATGCAAGAACTGTTGCATTTTCTAGTGTTGCTGTTGAATTGGTAGATACGCAATAACTGTTGGGGTCTTATAGTGGTTTTGCTTTCTGGTTGTCAAGTTTGCTTGATTTGGTAGACTCTGTGCTTCACAAATGGTTTGGTTTCTAGTGGTCGTTATTGCCTGATTTGGCATTGAGGCAGCCATTGTTTGCGAGATGTCACAGGAATGCCATTAGTTCATATTTTGAGTTGATTTCTTTCGTTTTTGATTGGTGCGATGTATCATAGTGATATGTTACAATTTTTCTCTCTGTGTTAATTCAATTATTGTTGCTTTCATTGTTACCCTCTGAATGTTCAAGATTGTTGTTGGAGAAATAGGAAAGGCAGTCTTCCATTTAGTGAAACATATAGATGTCAATTAGCCTATTACGAAAATTTTGATGTTGCAGAAACTTTAGAATTAGAAGATAGTATGCCATTTTTAAAGACCAGGGCACATTTTTAACACGTTGTCTCATTAATTCCTTCATTGTAAAACCCTAAATTGTTTGCATAGATTGACATTGATTCTAGAAATCACTAGATGCATGTATACTCTGTAACGCTACAGAAATCTTTCTACCGATTGCGGATATATCTTGTTTACTAGTTGAAGGATTCACTACTAAAAATTGAAATGATGCAAGAGTAGGTAATAGTGGCCAATGTTGAATTTGTCATAATTTTATATATATTACATATCACAAATTTGATTGTAGTTTGGTTTGTCAAAATTTGTTGATGCCTATTTGTGTCTTACCAATGTGCTTTTAACATTGTGCAGATTGGAAATAAACAATGGAGGTACTATGACTTTGGTCCAAAGGCTGTGCCTCCTCTCATTTGTATTCCTGGA